GTTGGCTTCCTTCTTTCCTTTTCTTTCTTTTTTTTTTTTTTTTTAATTAGGACTAGCTTTAAGGCCTTAAATTCACATACATTTCTCACACTGTGACTCATCGGGTCTGAAATGGTTCTAACAAGACTTCACTGAAAGTTTATAGAAAAATAACATCACGTCCTTGGCACAACAGTCGAGGACAAAGGGCCTGAAGGGCCGTGTCTTGCTTCCTGTCCATAGTCCTGTCCCTGCTACCAGACCTGAAGGCTCACACACAGCCCCTTCTTTCCTTTTCTGTTTAATTTCTTGCCTTGCCTGGTGGATTCATTCTGTTGAGGTTTGTGGAGTTCTAATCCTTTTTGCCTCTTTCTAGAATAGCCAGCAGAACACTTTGGAGTACTGGTTTGGTGGTCATGAATTTCTTCAGGTGTTCTTTGTCATGGTAGTATGTTATTTCTCCATCTGTTTTTTTTGTTTGTTTTTTGTACTGGGGATTGAACTCAGGACCTTGTGCTTGTGAGGCAGGCATGGTGCCACTGAGCTAAATCCCTGGGCCTCTCCATCAGTTTTGAATGATAGTTTTGCAGGGTACCTCAATCTGAGTTGGAGGTTGTTTTCCTTTAGGGCTTGAAATACTTCACTCCAAGCTCTCCTTGACTTGTGTTGAGAAGTCTGCTATGATTCTGATGGGCTTTCCTTTTTAGGTGATTTGTTTCTTTTCTCTAACAGCTTTTTTTGGCGGGGGTTGGGGGGGTACTGGGGATTGAACTCGGGACCTTGCAGTTCTGAGGCAGGTGGCAGAACCACTGAACTAAATCCCCAGCCCACTAACAGCTTTTAATATTCTATCCTTATGTGGTATATTTCTGGAATCTTGACTTTTATATGCCTTGGGGAAGACTTTTTTGTGTGTGTGGTACCAGGGATCAAACTCAGGACCTTGCGCTTGAGAGGCAGGCGGCGGAACCACTGAGCTAAATCCTCAGCCCCCTAAATGGAATTTTTAATCTTCTGGATATCTGTTTGAATCTATTTCATGGATTCCATTTCTTTCCTATGCTGAGTGTTCATGGCTTCCATCACATTTCTGAGCTCTATTTTTTTAATTGGTATCTTTCATTCTAGTTACCATCTCTGTAATTATCTGGGAAATTATTTCTGGTTTGATTTTCTTCTAGAGCCTAGTTCATCTGCTTTGCTGCTGCTGCTGTTGCCACTTCAGAGTCCAGGTGGGTGGCTTTTGGATGGTTCCACTTCATTGGCCCCAGGGTTTGCCTTTGGTGAGCTGAAAGTCTATGGAGGTTGCATCTTGTTTATGTGTCTTCTTATTTTCTATTTTTATTTTTTATTTTAAGTTTGATTCCTGAGTTGATGCTTGTAAATTGCTTATGGCGAGTAGCTTTATTGCCAATATTCAGAACCCTCAGGAAATGACAACTCAGAGGAGTGGTATCTTCCGGGTATAGCTACTTTTTGGGTTTTGAATCTGTTGCAGGATCCTACCTCTTCAGTTTATTGGGGATGAGAAGTTTCTGCCTACTTGGCTCAGCTGCCAGTTCTTTGGCACTGGCCTGTAGGGCTTTTTTTTTTTTTTTTTTAACGACCCTTCGGCAATCTCAGTCTTGGTGTACCAGGAGGTCCAGGCTGGTCTTGAACTCACTATGTAGCCCATGCTGGCCTCAAACTCATGGCAATCCTCCTGCCTCAGCTTCCCGCGTGCTAGGATTACAGGCATTTGTCACCATGCCTGGCTGTTTTTGTATTTTGTGACAGGTTCATGTTAAATTGCCCAGGCTGAGCACCAGGTCAGGTCTTGCAGGCCTCAAGAGGTTAAGACAAGGGATAGGAATATAGTTCAGGGGACACAGGCTTTGTGTCTGAAGGCCTGGGTGCTTTCTGGGACTGGTACTCCAGGCTGTGTGAGCCTGGCAGGTTTCTGAGCCTATCTGGGTCTCAGTAAAATGGAGGCGTAGGAAACCAGAGGAGAACTGAGGCCTAATCGGCCTCCTCTGCGAGCACAAAGGAGAAAGGCTGCACTCAGGCATGACTGCATATTGCAGGTTCTAGGGAAAACTTAAGACAGCTGAGGTTGGGCCAGGGATTTAGCTCAGAGGTTCCGCCACCTCCCTTGCAAATGCAAGGTCCCAAGTTTGATCCCCAGTACCAAAAAACCCACAAAAAACCCAAAAGACAGCTGAGGTTAAGTTGAGCATGTACTAATGGACACTGGAAAGCAGATGAATCTTGTATTACTTTGATTGCTTTAAGACTGTCTCTCCAGAAGAAGAAAAAGAATACAGAGCATGGTTGAGGGCACAGCCTGGAACTCTGAGCCTGCTGCCAACAGCATAAACCAGTACCACCTTGGCACGGTTCTTTGTCATTGTTACTTATGCCAGCCATGTCCCTACCTCATGACTCAGAAAACCCCTCCTGGGCTTCTACCCAACAGGAACATCAGCCCCTTTACATCAAGACACATTTGTGGTCATTCATGGCAGCACTTGTTAAAGTACCCGAAACTGGAAATGCATGGCAGCGCTGGGCAGCAGGTGAACAGAGGATGTGCTAATGTCGCCAAGGGTCACAAAGGACAGGCCTCTGACACACAGCATGGATGGATCCAGAGACACACTGGCCAAGGACAGAGAGACACAAACAACCCGTCCCTGCTGTCCTATTTCTGTGAAGCTCAAATGTAGGCAATACTGATCCCTTGAGCCAGGTGTGGTGGCTCACACCTGTCATCCCAGTACTCAGAAGGCTGAGGCAGAAGAATCACTGCGAGTTTGAGACCAGCCTGGGCTGCATAGTCAGACCCTGTCTCAAAACAAACAAACAAAATTGGGCCAGGGATTTAGCTCAGTGGTTCCGCTGACTGCCTCAAAAGCACAAGGTCCCAAGTTCGATCCCCAGTACCAAAAAAAAAAAAATTAGAAAAAAAATCCAAAATAGACTGATTCTTGCTACTAGTAGGTAAAATAGGTAACTTAGGACTATGCTGCAAAGGGTGGTCACACAGGTGTGCAGGAGAGATTTGTAGTTATATAATTAGGATTTGTGACTGGGCATAGTTGTGCACACCTGTTATCCTAGCACTTGGGAGGCTGAGACAGGAGGATTGCCGAAAGTTCAAGGCCAGCCTGGGCAATGCAGTGAGTTTGAGGCCAACCTGACTTACACAGTGAGACTCTGTCTCAAAACACCAAAAAACAGGCCCAGGATTTAACTCAGTGGTTCCGATGCCTGCTTTGTAAGCGCAAGGTCCCAAGTTCGAACCCCAGTACCAAAAAAAAAGACTTATGGGCCAGGGATTTAGCTCCGTGGTTCTGCTGCCTGCCTCGCAAGCACAAGGACCCGAGTTTGATCCCTGGTACCAAAAAAACACCAAAAAACAAAAAAACCAGGGCCGAGTATTTAGCTCAGTGGTGCCGCCCCCTGCCTTGCAAGCGCAAGGTCTCAAGTTCGATCCAGTACAAAAAAAAGACCACCGCCCCAAAAAAAAGACAACAACAAAAAAGAAGGGGCCAGGTGTGGTGGCTCATGCCTATATTCCCAGCATTCCCAGCACTCGGGAGGCTGAGGCAGGAGGATTGCCTTCAGTTGGAGGCCAGGCTAGGCCTCTGTAAGTTCACAGCCAGCCTGAGCTACATAGCAAGAGCTTGTCTCAAAAGAAAAAGGGGGGAGGGCGGGGATTTAGCTCAGTGGTTCTGCCACCTGCCTCGAAAGCACAAGGTCCCGAGTTCAAAAAAGGGGGGGTGGAATTTGTGAACATTACATCAATGAAACTTCAATTTTTTTTTTTTTTTTTGTATCGGGGCTCAAACTCGGGACCTTGCCCTTGTGCGGCAGGTGCTGAAACCACTGAGCTAAATCCCCGGCCCTTCAATTTTAAAATATATGTATGCATTTTTTTTTTGGTACCAGGGATGGAACTCAGGACTTTAGCTTTTGAGGCAGACAGCGGCACCACTGAGCTAAATCCTGGGCCCCTATGCATTTTGAAATTTACATATTATACATAATCATAAAACTGTATAGGAAGTGGACCACTGGGGAATTAAACTGACGGGTGGGAGTCCTGGTCCTCAGGTTTCTGCCATCGCTCTCATCCCCAGGCCGCACATGACACCACACAGCCAGCCCTGGGGACAGATGGAGGCAGGAGCCAGTGGCGGCCTGGGCTCCTGCTCTTTGTCCCTCTGTCCCACGCACAACAGGGCTAATATTTACCTTGCAAATAGGAAGTGGAGGAGGGGTGGGCACAGCTGGGCCCCGAAGCTACTAGGCTGGCCTGGGACAAAGAGGCCCTGTCACCCTGTCACGGAGGCAGGATTGGGGCAGGGATGGGTGAGGACAGGCGCAGGCCCAGAGGCCCTGGACGTGACTCCTCCTACAGGCCACCTCACAAACACTTCGCAGGGCCATCCAGGAAGGAGGAGAAGGAGGCAACCGTCATCGGCTGAGAGGCTGGGTCCAGTGTGTGCCTGTGCCCAGACTTCTTTGGGCAAGGGGACAGCTTTCTTTTTTTGGAGACAGGGTCTCACTATGTAGTTCCAGCTGGCCTTGAACTCACTATGTAGCCCAGGCAGGCCTTGAACTCGAAATCCTCCTGCCTCAGCCTCCCACATGCTGGGATTACAGGGTACCACGCCCAGTTCAATCTGTTGACTATTAAACACTTAACATATGTCTGGGGCTTGACATTCCTAATCTCCCTTAGTCCTCCCAACAGTCCTGCAGAGTGGGAGACTGAGACTAGCACACATAAAAGCATCCAATGGTGTTTTTTGGGTTGGTTGGAGCCTGTGAAGTGCCGTGGCCCCACATGTCAGGGAGGGAGCAGAGGGGCAGAGGCGGTGGCCCCTTCCCTGTGGCCTCCTCCCTGAGACTGTCCCTCCCGGGCCCCAGGAGGGCCTGTCTTCCTGATGGTGGGGGGGATGCTTGTCCCCACAGCCCTGACCCGTTGACCTGTCCCTGTCCACTGATTTCTTCATGTTGGTTCAACATTAACTCAGCAGGCTCAGAACGTCCCAGGAGCCCAGCAGGACACCCTTGTGCCATGGTGCACGTCGGAGGCCTGCAGCGGCCGGGCTGCCTGGCCCTGGCGGCCCTGCTCAGCCTCGCAGTTGGCCAGGACGGTGAGGACGGCTGGGAGCGGGCTGGAGGGGGCCCTGGCTGCCCCTGCCCCAGACCTGGGAGGGGGCTTCGCACTCCACGCACCCCATGCAGCTCTGGGCAGCCACCCTGCCCGACTGCTGCGACTCCCTGCAGTGTTCCTGGCCCCGAATCGCGCAAAGTCGCTGCTGCAGCGGACGCGCAGGGCCAACAGCGGCTTCCTGGAGGAGCTACGCAGGGGCAACCTGGAGCGCGAGTGCGTGGAGGAGCAGTGCAGCTACGAGGAGGCCTTTGAGGCCCTGGAGTCGTCCAGCGCCACGGTGAGCATGGGACAGCGACGCCCCTGCCCTCAGGTTTTGTTTTTATTTTGAGACAGGGCTTCGCTAAGTCCCTGAGTTGCCCAGGCTGGGCTGGAACTTGGGATCCTCCTGCCTCAGCCTCTGAGTGCCAGGATTACAGTCATGTGCTACCACACCTGGTTTCCTTCTCTGTAACTTCTCCCCTGAGCCCCAGGTCCCTGGGCCAGCAAGACAGGGGCCCCTCAGCCTCCCTTGGGGTCCCGACACCTGGCTGGGGTCACACACTGTGCCAGATCTGCTGAGGCTCTGTGACATCGGGGCCCTCAGCTGCAGTGTCTGCCTGCGCTGGGCCTCGGGCCGCCTGGTGCTGGTGGAAGCCTTTGTGCCACTTCAGTGCTACCCTTAGGGTGGCACCTGGTGAGGCTGCAGCCCTGGGCATGGCCTTCACTTGCCCCCAGCCCCTTCTCTTGCCTCCCCCAGCGCAGGGGAGCCAGCCAGTGGGGGGACCCTCCTCCACACACATCTCCTTGGGAAGCAAAAGTAGGAGGCTCCTCCCTAAACCCCCAGATGCCCCCAGCGAGGGGGTGAGGGGCACTGCAAAGAGACAAAACACCATCCTGAGCCGGCCGGTGACACATGCTGGTCATCCCAGCACTCGGGAGCCTGAGGCAGGGCAGTCACTGGGAGTTCGAGGCCAGCCTGAGCTACACAGCGAGACCCTGACTCAAAAAATTAAAAACCCAAAACACTATCCTGTCAGGCTCATCCGAGCCTTTGTTTTCCAGGATGTATTCTGGGCCAAGTACACAGGTGAGTATGGGAGAGGGAGGGGGCGCCCAGGAGGGAGGCCTGGCCGGCAGGAAGTGGGAGGCTCAGGCGCTTCCGGGGAGCCCGGCCCCCCCATCCTCGCCTCCCTCCCTCGACCCCCATCCCCCGGGTCTGTCGCCCTCTTTCTGATGTCACCCAGCACCCTTCCCTCCCACCCACGGCGTCCGCGTTCTCTTCCAGCGTGCGAGTCCGTGCGGAAGCCCCGGGAGACCCTCATGGAGTGTCTGGATGGTGAGGAGCAGACAGACGGGCGGAAGGACGCAGGCAGCCTCTGAGGGGAGGCAGGGCTGGCTGGGGGTGTGGCCGGCGGTGTTCCTCCTGCGTCCCAGGCCCCGTGCCAAGGGGCGGGGACTCGGGGCGAATCCAGTGTGGTCCTTGCTTGAAGCTCAGTCCCGCAGGAAACAGGGACTCGGACATGCATGTGAGGCGGAGGTCGGAGGGCGCCTGCCTTCAGCCATGGGTCCCAGGACTTGTGGGGTGCAGAGGGGTGAAGGGGGCACCCCCAGGGGAAGCGGCACAGGCAAAGGCCCTGGGCCCCAGGGGCTAAGAGAGGGACAGGGAGCCCGGGGCCACTTTGCACTCTGCCACCCCCGAGGAGCCACCGAACAGGCTCTGTGCAGTGTGGAGCCCTTGACGGGCCGTCTGGGCCACCGCGATGGCCTTAGTGCCCGGCGCGGTGCCCGGCACGCAGTGGCACCCAGTGACGGACTTTCTGATGACCGCTGTGAAGCGGCTGAGGGCGGTGCCCTCGAGGAGCGTGGCGAGGAGGAGGAGACAGGCTCGGGCTCGGGTCTCCGCAGGTCACTGCGCCAAGGGCCTGGGCATGAACTACCGTGGGACCGTGAACGCCACCCGGTCGGGCATCGAGTGCCAGCTCTGGAGCAGTCGCTACCCGCACAGGCCTGAGTGAGTCTGGGGTGGCGTGGGCACCGCGGGCAGCGGAGCGCAGCCCCTGCTGAGCCGTGTCCCCTTCCAGGGTGAACCACACCACCCACCCCGGCGCCGACCTGCTGGAGAACTTCTGCCGCAACCCCGACGGCAGCACCACGGGCCCCTGGTGCTACACCACGGACCCCACCGTGCGCAGGGAGGAGTGCAGCGTGCCCGTGTGCGGTGAGCGGGCCCGGGGTCGGGCCCAGGCCCAGGGTCACCGCCAGAGCTGGGGTGAATGGGCCTGACAGCCCGGGAGGCTGGAAACCCAGCACTCTGGAGGCTGAGGCAGGAGGGTCGCTGTGAGTTCCAGGCAAGCCTGAACTATGGCAAGACCCTGTCTCCAAACAAAACAACAGAAAGAATTCGGACCAGTAGTTCAACCCGTTAAACAGCCATTGGTATTCTTTGTTCTCTATGGACCCCTTGTTCCACCCTGGGAATGGTCTTGAAGCAGTTAGGGGCCCTCCTACACGCACACGGATGGTGTGTATGCAGGCCTGCCGAAGCGCACTTCCTGTCCACACGGGCATCCTCCGCAGACCCCAGCAACCTCCTGCTGCCTTCTGTAAAAGCACACGACCCTCTTTGTGGTGGTTGTTGTTTTTCCTTCCCAGCACTGGACTGAATGTGGGTTCAAAGCAAGGGCTCTACTACGCCAGCTAAACCTCCAAGCCCTTTTGTCTTGAGACATAGTCTTGCTAAATTGCTCAGACTGGCCTCAGCCTTCTGAATATTGGGATTAGAGGTGTGTCTGCATCCCACCACATAGCACTTCGAATTCTTAAAATGAAACAAAAATGGAAAACAAAAACAAAAGCAACCTTCCAGAGCCAGGCATGGGGGTACACAGCTCTCATCCCAGCACTCTGGGAGGCTGAGACAGAAGGATCACAAGTTTGAGCCCAGCCCGAGTAGTTTACAGCCTCAGAGCCTGCTGCAGAGTAAATAAGAGTTGGGGGTGTGGCACCAAAACAAACAAACAACCCCCAAAGCTCAAACAAAGGGAAAACCCCACTCCAGGCAGTCACTAGGGGCAGAGTGAGGTGGCCCGGGAGCCCGGGCCTGGTTATCCTCTCAGGCCTCTCACATGCTCAACGACAGGCTGTGTGTTTGGCTTGAAGCGCATTGAGAGTTGGGTAACCAAAGCTCAGAGAGGTTGCTCACTGCCCGAGGGCGCACAGCAGACAGGGGCCTTACCTCCCCTGCGGTTCCCCGGCCGCCCCACCCACTGGGCCCTGGTCCTCACCCAGGCGAGGCCCGCTTCACCGTGGAGATGACACCCCGCAGCGGTGGCTCCAGGCCGGACGTGTCCTCTTCACTGGCGGACTGCGTACCCCAGCGTGGCCGGCAGTACCAGGGGCGCCTGGCGGTGACATCAAAGGGGTCCCCCTGCCTGCCCTGGGCCAGTGAGCAGGCCAGGTCCCTGAGCCAGGACAAGGACTTCAGCCCGGAGGTGAAACTGGAGGAGAACTTCTGTCGCAACCCCAACAAGGACGAGGAAGGCGCCTGGTGCTTTGTGGCCGGCGAGTCCAGCCACATCCAGTACTGCGACCTCAACTACTGTGGTGAGCGGCAGGGATGCAGGGTCCGGGATGCAGGGACAGGGCCACAGCCCCTTGTCCGCATGGCAGTGCTTGCATTCATCACAGCTCCACAGAAACGCGCGGGTCGGCCCTGTGCCCGTTTTAGAGATGGGTAACTGAGGCCTCCTCGAGTGGTGCCCTCATCACCGGGTACGCGTGCAGTTTTTTCTGTGCTGGAGATTGAACCCAGGACCTTCACACTGATCTACATCCCCATTTTAGTTTTTATTTTAAGGCAGGGTCTCACTAAGTCTACAGTTTCCCCAGGCTGGGCTTGAACTCGTGGCAATTCTCCTGCCTCAGCCTCCTGAGTGTTGAGATTACAGGCGTGCGCCACCGTACCCAGCCTGTGTGCTCTCTTAACCTCAGTACCCAGTGTCCTCTAAGGGCAGAAGGGTCTGGGGGTCTGGGGTGCTGGCCAGCAGTGCCCAACCCGGCCCCAGCAGCGCCCGGTCTCCGCAGAGGAGGCGGTGGAGGAGGCGGTGGAGGAGGCCATCGGGGGCCGCACGACGACAGAGGACTTCCAGACCTTCTTCGAAGAGCAGACCTTCGGCCTGGGGGAGGCCGGTGAGGCTCGGGGCGGCGGGGGTGCGGGTGGGCGGCGGGCGGCCCTCACCTGCTTGCTCTGCAGACTGTGGGCTGCGGCCGCTGTTCGAGAAGAAGCGAGTGAAGGACAAGACGGAAGCGCAGCTCCTGGACTCCTACATCGACGGGCGCATCGTGGAGGGCTGGGACGCCGAGACGGGCGTTGCCCCGTGGTGCGTGCCGTGCCGGGGCCCAGCTCGGGCCCTGCGGGGGATGCTGGGGGCTTCCTGCCTCAGCCTCCTGAGGGCTAGGATTCCAGCCGGGACCAGCACGCCCGGCTGTGGGCCAGTCCTTAGCCGCCCGCTGCTCCGCTGCCCAGGCAGGTGATGCTCTTCCGGAAGACTCCCCAGGAGCTGCTGTGCGGGGCCAGCCTCATCAGCGACCGCTGGGCGCTCACGGCCGCGCACTGCGTCCTGTACCCGCCCTGGGACAAGAACTTCACCGAGAACGACCTCCTGCTGCGCATCGGCAAGCACTCCCGAAGCAGGTGCGGGCGGCGGCGGCGCGAAAGGCCGTCCAGCTGTCCCCAGGGAAAAGTCCTCTTGGCCTGCTCTGTCCCCAGCCTCCTCCAGACATCAGGCCTGCCCCCGGGGGTTGTCGCTTCACATAGTGACTACGCCGGCCATGGTGGTGCGTGCCTGTAGTCCCAGCACTGGGGAGGCTGAGGCAGGAGGATCACCGAGAGTTCGAGGCCAGCCTGGGCTACATAGTGAGCGCAGGGCCAACCTGAACTAGGCAGCGAGACCCTGTCTCACAAAAAAGCAACAGTGGTGAGTTCATCCAGGATGAGCAACCTCTGTGCCTGTCCTTGTCCCTGCCTGCCTGGCCCCAAAGCCCTGTGTGGCTTTGGGATGGGAGGAAGCTGCCCAGCGGCTGCCAGGGGAGGTGCCTCCCCATGGCCCTGCGTCCCAGCCCCTTCCCGCCCGCAGCCTCTGGTCTCCGCAGGTACGAGCGCAACATGGAGAAGATCTCCATGCTGGAGAAGATCTTCATCCACCCCCGGTACAACTGGCGGGAGAACCTGGACCGCGACATCGCCCTGCTCAAGCTCAAGCGCCCCGTGCCCTTCAGCGACTACATCCACCCGGTGTGCCTGCCCGACAAACAGACGGTGGTCAGGTGGGTCCTTCGCCTGGACAGGCAGGTGGGCGCCAGGCCGGCGCTGGCGCTGGCGCTCACTGTCTCTGTCCCCGGCCTCCCCGCAGTCTGCTCCAGGCTGGCTACAAAGGCCGGGTGACGGGCTGGGGCAACCTGCGCGAGGTGTGGAAGAGCAGCGCTGGCGAGGTGCAGCCCAGCGTGCTGCAGCTGGTGAACCTGCCCATCGTGGACCGGCCCACCTGCAGGTCGTCCACTCGGATCCGCATCACTGACAACATGTTCTGTGCTGGCAAGTCTGTGGCATGCACCTGGGGACACAGGGACGGGGCGCGGAGGGCTGGAGACATTCAGGCACCAGCCGGGGTGCGGGGCAGCACTTGCAAGCCCGGTGGCTTCGGGCGGGTTGCTGAAGTTCTCGGGAGCTCAGTGCCAGGCGCTTAGAAGAGTGCACACGAAGTGTCTGGTTCGGCAGCTGCCCACTCAGTGTCCGGTATGTGTGGGCTGGTGAGGTGGCACACTCCTGTAATGCCAGCTCCTCAGGAGGCTGAGGCAAGAGGATTGCAAGTTTGAGGCTGGACTGGGCAAGTGCGTGAGAACCTATCTCAAAATAATTTTTTTTTCAAAGTAAAATTTTGAAAAGGGCTGGGATGTAGCTTAGCACACCCTGGTTTCAACCCCAGTACTTGGAGGTGGGGGAAAGAGGTCATGGGTAGGAAAAAGCCAAACATTCACCCATTCGGCAAATATTTATTGAGCGCCTACTATGTCCTAGGCAGCTTTCCAGGGTATACAAGGGAGACTCAGGCAGCCGAACTTCCTTCCTAGGAGGTGGGGGCGTCAACAAACACTGGTAGGCCACAGACCCTGCTGTGCTGTGGAGGAGCGGACAGAGTACTGCAGGGAGGGAGGGACAGGGGCTTTTCTTTTTTTGTGGTGCTGGGGATTTGAACCCAGGACCTTGGATTTGTTAGGCAAATACTGTACCACTGAGCTACATCCTCAGCCTGACCTTTTAAAATTTTTATAGTAAATTCAGATTCACAAAAAGTTGCACAAATAATACAAAGGATTCCTGTATACTCTCCTCCAGATTTCCCCTTTTCTGGGCGTGTGATACACACACTTGCACACACACAGCTTGAGAGTAGAGTGTATGTGTTTTTTTAACCTAATAGTTCAATATTTCCCAAAGAACCAAAGATATTCTTTATTTTTCTTGGCTTTCTGAGACAGGGTCTCACTATGTAGTTCAGGCTGGACTTGAAATCACTGGGTAGTGCAGGTTGGGCTCAAACTCATGGTGATCCTCCTGCCTCAGTCTCCTGAGCGCCGGGATGACAGGTGCACACCATCCCACTGGCTGCAAAGATGTTCTCTCACATAACCACAAAGTCGATAATGGTACAATAATGTTATCTAATCTGTAGACCTCATTTGAAATTTTTGCCAATTATGCCACTAAAATCCTTTATCACAAAAGAGAAACAATGTTCTCATCAAGATGCAATCCCGAGTCCCACATCACCTAACACTTAGTCACCAGCTTTCGTCTTCCTTGAGCTTGACACCTGGCAAGGATGATCCAGGGCGGTGCCCTCACAGCCTCCCTGGCCTGGTGTCTGAGCTTCCTCCTGGTCAGATTCCAGACAGGGAAGGCTGGCCCATCCCTGGCATTCGAATTTCATCGCTCAGCAGACCCTTCTGTTCTGGCCACCAAATGGACGCGCCCTGATTCTGTCCTTTCTGCAGGTATCATTTTTACTATAAGGAAGAACTTTCTTCCATTTTTTTTTTTTTTTTGGTACCAGGGATCCAACTCCAGTCTTTGTGCTTGCACAGCAGGCAGTGAAACAACTGAGCTAAATCCCCGGCCCTCTTCCATTCTTTTTAAAAAGTGTATTTACTTTTGGTGCTGGGGATTGAACCAGGGATTCATGCATGCTACTTCTAGGCTCTACCACTGAGCTACTCCCCTGCTCCACATTTGTTCTTATTGTTTAGTTTTGGTAACAGGGATCAAACTCAGAACCTTGTACTTGCCAGGCGGGCAGGATGACACTGAGCTAAATCCCTGGCCCTTGTTTCTTTGGTTTTTTGAGACAGGGTCTCGCTGCACAGTTCAGACTGGCCTTGGCCTCATTATGTAGCCCAGGCTGGCTTCGAACTTGCAGCCATCCTCTTGCTTCAGCCTCCTAAGTGCTGGGATTACAGGCCCCACACCCAGCTGATTTCAGCATTTCTAAGTAGTCACTCCTCTGAGAGTATATAGACAAAATAGTGTGTTCAAGTTACCTTGGAGGGCCAGGGGTTTAGCTCAGTGGTGCTGCCGCCTGCCTCGAAAGCACAAGGTCTTGAGTTCGATCCCCGGTTCCAAAAAAAAAATTACCTTGCTTGTGCTACTTATTTAAAATCATTGGGCTTACTAGTTTCTGATTGTATTCAGTTTTGCTCCTTTAATGTTTTAAAAACTTCTGAAATATGCAAAATGTGGTAGAAGTCAGACCTGCTGGGTCAGGTGCTTCCCAGACAGGTGACCACCTCCCTTCCAGCGATCCTGTCCCCTTCCGGTCCCTCCCCTGCCATCCCCAACCTTGCCCTGGGACGGACCAGCCTCCTTACTTTGTGGCTTCTTTCTTTTTGCAGAAATGAGCTCACACTGTATATTTTAATTCCTGTTTTCTACACACTGAGAAACAGTACAGATACCGTTCTGTACTTTGTTCTCTTCTCATTATCATTCAAACAGTTTGGTAGGCACGCGGCCTGCATGATGGGGATGGAGCGTAGCAAGTTTCTTTCCTTTTTCTTCTGGTGTCAGGGATCAAAGCTAGGACCTCACTCTTCAGGGCAGGCGCTCTGCCACCGCACTACGAGTGCCTGGCCTTGGACGCAGTGTAGGCCACTCAGCCATTTCCCCGGGGTGGGCCCTTGGATTGCTAGTATTGTGCAGTTCCAAGTATACTGTAAGGATACCCTTGGGCACAGTTTGGTATCTTCGTCGGTCTCTGAGATGTGAGGTGGTGTTGCTAAGTCAGGTGTAAACATATACATAGTGTTTTTTGGTACCAGGGATCGAACTCAGGACCTTGTGCTTGCAAGGCAGGTGGCGGAACCACTGAGCTAAATCCCCGGACCCTTCAGTTTGTTTTTTGAGACAGGGTCTCACTATGTAGTCCAGGCTGGCCTTGAACTCATGGCAATCCTCCTGCCTCACCTTCCCAAATGCTGGGATCAGAAACATTGCCATCACACCTGGCTTTTCTATTAATTTTAAAGACTTCTTTGTGTACTAGTGATATTAGACCTTCATTTGTGAGATATATATATATATATATAATTATTTTGTCTAGTTTTTTCTGAGACAGAGTCTAAGTTGCCCAGGACAGCTTAAAGGTGGCGCTTCTCTCTGCCTCAGCCACCCAAATAGCCGGAGTTGACAGATGTGGGCACTATGCCCAGCCTGCATTTAAAAATTTCTTTAAAATTTTATGTTATCCCATTTCCCCCTCAGGCCCTCTCCCCTCCCTATGTACAGAAGCTTTGTTTCCATTTTTTCCTTCTATTTTCACTTCTCTTGTCGCTCCCTTCCTTCCTCCCTCCCTCCTCCCTGTTCCCCTTCCCATTTGAGCACTTTCTTCCCATTTCCCAACATCCACCATACATCTCAGTCCTTATTTCCACATTCAGTTTCCGCATTTGTTTTTCAGTTCTGGATCTGATTCAAGATGTTTTTACACATGTACAGGTTTGCTTGAGGATATTTAATTCACTTACAGTTTTCTTCTGTTTTGTGGCTGGGTTTAGGGGGAGAATTTTATTAGCTGAGGTCTTTTTATTCTTGTTCCTACATTATCTATGAGTCTATTTAGTTTTCATCCATTTATTTATAGATTTAGGGTTTTTTTTCAAGATTCCTAATTCGATTCCACGTGTTTCTTCTATCAAGCAGGTATTTTTCCATTCTCATCGTTACAAAAAGCTTTGGTGTAAGTTGTAGAATTAAATACACTACAGCAACTAGACATTTGGGTCTTCCTCTATTCTAGTTAGGGTGACAGTATGGCTTTTGTGGGTTTGATTTATTTATTTGGTCCGGGAATCAAACTCAGTGACTCACGCTTGCTAGGGTTTTTGTTTTTTTAAAGTGTTTTGAGACAAGGTCTCACTTTGTAATACAGGCTGGCCTTGAACGGTGCAGCCCAGGCTGGTCTCCAGCTCACTGATGTCCTGCCTTGGCTCTCAAGTGCTGGGAGTACATGCCGCACCACGCCTCTCAGTTGTTTATGTTGTTCTGGACTAGGGGTGATGTAGGGAGTTTTACATAAAGGGAACTGGCCTTACCCTCAGCTACCTAACCTACCCTTCCTTTCCTTTTTAGTACATGCTTACAAGAAATAATAATGCATTCATTGTAGGAACTGGTACATATACACATGGGATCTAGAGCCTTTTTACTTTCCTTTCTAAGTTGCTTTCTAAGTCATTCTTGGCCGGGCACAGTGGCACACACTTGTAATCCCGGCACTCTGGGAGGCCATGGTAGGAAGACAGTGAGTTTGAGCCCAGCCTGGGCAATTTAGCAACTTAGTGAGATCCTGGCTTAAAAAATAAAAAGGCCGAGGATGAGGCTGAGTGCAAAGGCCTTGCGTTCAAGCCCCAGTACAGGAAGGAAAACAAAAAACCCATTCTCTCTGCTGGGTGGAGAGTGGAGTGTAGGTGGCAGAGCAGGAGTAGGAGACTGGGAAGGTCTGGAGGGTGCGTGTGCTGTGGCCTCATGGCTGGACGTGGGACCAAGAGCCGATGAGACTGGCTGAAGGACCGGACGCCTGGGACGGGGGTCCTGGGTGCCCCGGGCGCTGGCTCTTGCAGGGGAGAGGGTCCTGAGCCTGCTCTTCTCTCTCAAGGTTTCAAGCCTGAGGAAGGAAAGCGAGGGGATGCTTGCGAAGGCGACAGCGGGGGACCCTTTGTCATGAAGGTAAATCTCCCGGGGCTGGCCGGGCAGAGCCAGTTGTCTGGCAGGTCCACGCGGGGAGTGCGCTGGACGCGACTCTCCCGGAACCCACCTTTCCTCCGCAGAACCCCTTTAACAACCGCTGGTATCAAATGGGCATCGTCTCCTGGGGTGAGGGCTGTGACCGGGACGGGAAATACGGCTTCTACACACACGTGTTCCGCCTGAAGAAGTGGATCCAGAAGGTCATCGAGCGGTTCGGTGGGCCGGCTCCCACGGCGGTCTCACCGCGCCGACGCAGGCACCAACCCACGCAATGAGTATCTCTGTGGCTTCAAAGCACCGTGCCAATAAAGTGACTGTCGGTGAGCCTCAGGCTCCAGTGCTGTGTGGCCCGAAGCAGGCTGTGTGCGGGACAGGACGGTGAGGGCGAGGGCGGGGGTGGGCTGCACGCAGGGTGGGTAAACTGAGGCTTGGAGAAGCGGCTGGACTGGTCACAGAGCTCAGAACTCCAGCGGTACCGAAGGAGGCGCGAGGCCTCTCTCTGGCTGCCCTGCTGTCGGCCTGGAGCAGCGGACAGACTCCGGGGAGGGACTTGGTGCGCCGAGTCCCGGGAGCCGTCAGGGCCTTCAGATTCTGGCTCCAACCTTAGCAGAGGTAACCATGGCCAAGTCACCTCACATTTGCTCTTTATTCACCTTTAGTTTTTTGTTTTTGGTACTGGGGATCGAACTCTGGCGCGGTGCCACTGAGCTACATCCCCAGCCTAGTTTTTGGCTGGTTTTTTTTTTGTACTGGGGATCGAACTCAGGACCTAGCGCTTGCGCATCAGATGCCGGAACCACTGAGCTAAATCTCCGGCCCAATTTTTTTTTTTTTTTTTTTTGGAGGGTACCAGGGACCGAACTCAGGACCTTGCACTTGCGAGGCACGTGGCAGCACCACTGAGCTAAATCCCTGGCGAGGCTCCCTACTTATCGCCCCTCTCCCAGTCGCAGCAGGCAACACAGCAACATCAAATCCTGGAATTCTCCTGACACAGAGATTTTCAGATTGCAGCAATTTTTTTTCCAGGACATAGGCCCTTAGGGGTGGGTAAATGGGTTTGGACAAATTAAAATGTCAGATGTGGAGATACACACCTGCATACTAGGACTCTGGGAGGCTGAGGCAGGATCCCATCTTTTTTGTTTTTTGTACCGGCGATCAAACTTGGGACTTTGCGCTTTCGAGGCAGGCGGCAGAACCACTGAGGTAAATCCCTGGCCCAGGATCCCAGCTTTGAGCCCAACCTGGGCAATTTAATGACTTAGCAAGACCCTCTCTCAGAATAAAAAATAATAGGCTAGGGCTCAATGCGAAGGCCTTAGGTTCAATCACCAGCACCACACACACAAAACCCCCAAGAGAACATAAAGTCACAGGGATTTTTTCTTTTTGTGACAAGGTCTTGCTATGTAGTTCAGGCTGGCCTCAAACTCAGAGCAGTCCTCCTGCCTCAGCCTCCTAGGCACTGGGATTACAAGTGTGTGCCACCACGCCTGCCAAAGTAACAAGATTTAAACCCCCATGCCTAGCACATTCAAGGTCATGTTGGCAGCGGCCACTGAGAGGACCAGAGCCCGGCTCTGACCCGCGGGCGCCCTGGTGGGCCTGTGAGTGCAGTGCCATGGCTCCATCCCCACTGGGCGGTACCAGAGCCAGCAGCAGCCGGGATGGTGAGGGTCACAGGGTGATGGCGTGGCTTGAAGCTGGATGTCTTGGATGCCATGCAGTTACCGTTTCCAGCTCAGGCTCCTCAGCTGCAGGGCGTGCTTTGGAGCAGGAAAGGACTAACAGGAGTCAGCTTTAACCCGTTTCCCTCTTCAGCACACAAGGGCACAGAAGGCAGGACTGGACTCAGCTCTGTCCTTGTTCCGTGGTTCTGGTTGAGTGGGGCCTGCTCGTGGTGACTCCCACACGGAGCCTTAAGCAGACGGGGAGGGATCTGGAACAAGCCTTGGTGCCCAGGCCTGCTAGGAACCAGGCCCAGCGTCCCACAGACTGCATCCCATCCACATCGCCAGCCCCGGTTTTCACTTAGCGGTCTAACTCCGTGCACAAGCTTGGGTCCTTCCACAGCAACAAACACCGCCTTCCTGGCCGGGACACTCACTGCACGGTGCCCTGTGAGAGGCGGCAGGCTCTGAGGCCGGGATGGACACTGAGAGGATGCCTGCCCGCTCTGCACCGTCCTCCTGGACACCGGCTGGGGAGGTGCTGTGTGGGTCACGCTTCCCTGCGACTCCTGCGGCGTCAGAACCTCTTAGCCTGCAGTCCTGGCTGTGGAGCTCTCGGGAGGGAGGGCCTGCGGCTTTTACTCCAGAGGTGAATCTTTGGTCCGCAGTCCTCACGCAGACCAAGAGCAAAGCGGCTCTTACTAGACCAAAAGAGACGGAGGGAACCAGGTGGGAAAAATCTTCCTTCTCCGGACTCCATCTGGGAAGGAGCCCCACCTGCAGATGTGCTGCGGGAACCACAGCCTGGCCGGCCATGGGTGCTGTCTCAGGGCACTGGAGCTGCACGGTGGAAGGTCGTCTACAAGCTGCTTGCAGCCCTGGCTGCTGAATGGAAGACGGCACCAGAAGCTCTGACGGTGTGTGGGAGGGGTTCTCTGCTCCCCCAGAGCTCAGTGGGAAGCAGGAGAGGTGAGTCCCTTCCTTTCCAAGGGCGTCACAGATGCCCGTTCTTGAACTGGCTGTGTCCCGGTCCCCAGTCAGGTGACAGAGTGGCCCAGTACTCCAGGATACGGAGCACCCTGGGAGACAGGTATAGTTAATGCAAACTTTATTTATAAAAGACTCTTAAATTAGTGGTCTCATGCCATGCATTCATACAGAATTCAGTGACCCTTCAGGGGTACAGGGAGAAGAGATCACAAACTCAAAGGAAAACTATTAAAGAGTTCTAACAGTTAAGAGCTAGGAAAGATTAGGACAATTTTACAAATGAGCAGTCGAAAAGAAAAGAACAGAAAAAGACCATGGAAACTAGTGTGCGCTGAGGGGCAGCTGTTTACAAGTCTGTACACTAACTAATCCACAGACGGCTGTGGGGCGCGGGGACCTGGGGACGGACACGCCACTGCCACTGCCTCCGCTGGTGCCGTACCACAGCCACTTTGTGCATACCCAGCCTGCGCGGCCGCTCCACACTATGAGGGCTTCTAGTTTAGTAAACTAAAGCTGCAGGGGGCCTGGACAACAGCTTCATTTGCGACTGCTCTTTATTCTCTCCAGTCTTTTTTTCAAGTCGTCAATGTTGGTTGTGGAGGAGGAGGAGGAGGAGGTCATGGTGCCCGCCGAGTGGGTCTGGTTGGAATCCAGCTCCGAGTGCTGGTGCTGCTCACGCGACTCCCGCAGCTGGAACAGCTTGCTGTGCAGCATGTCTGTGGAGGAGGCCACCGGGGGCACCGTGGGCTTGGAGAGCAAAGAGGTCAGCGGAGGCCGGTCGTCTTGCTGTGGAGAGAAGAGGGGACATTGTCTCAGCCCAGGGGAACAGGTCAAGGGCCGGCTGCTGCCCTGGGCTGGCCTGCACGGCCCCGTGGGAGGGGGAGCAGTACCTTGGTGTTGTCCAGCCCGCATCTCTGCCGGAGGATTTTTAGCCTTTCCAGGTAGACAGACGGTCCCACCTCTTCGCCATTTGTGTTACCTATGGAGGACATTGTGCTTGTAGGGGCGGGCACACAGGTGACCTCCATCTGAGGCGAGATGCCTAGGGAGGAAAATGTATAGAGAATGTTCACAGACTCACTCACCTCCAGACTGCCTGGCCATCTGTCACTGAAAAGAACAATTAACAACTTAGGGGCTGTTAACTGAGCTGGGGAGGTAGTTCAGTGGTAGAGCACTTGCCTAGTATGTGCAAAGCCACAAATTCAATCACACACATACACACACACACACACGCGCGCGCGCGCACACACCAGCACATGCCTGCAATCCCAGCTACTTGGAGACTGAGGCAGGAAGATCACAATTTGAGGCCAGCTAGCCTGAGCCAAACTTAGTAAGAACCTGCAAAAAAAAGTGCTGGGTGTAGTGGTGCACACCATAACACCTTCTCTGGGAGGGCGAGCAGGAAGATTGAAAACATGAGCCCAGCCTAGGGAAGTTAGCAAGACCCTGTCTCAAAAAATAAAAAGAGGGGCCGGGGATTTAGCTCAGTGGTTTCGCCACCTGCTACGCAAGCGCAAAGACCCAAATTAGATCCCCGGTACCAAAAAAAATTAAAAAATAAAAAGTAAAAAGAGCTAGGGATGTAGCTTAGTGTGAAGGCCCTGGGTTCAATCCCCAGTGCCATGAGAGAGAGGGGAAAAAAACAAAAACAAAAATGGTAGAGTGAGGCTGATAACACGGCTCAGTGGTATACAAGCACATTATTTTGCTTAAACAAAGCTCGGGTTCAATCTCTGGTATCAAAACACAAACGGCTGGGGATTTAGCTCAGTGGTTCTGCCGCCTGCCTTACAAGAACAAGGTCCGGAGATTCATCCCCGGTACCAAAAAAAAAAAAGCCACAAACAAAAAATGTCTGGGGGTTTGAATGTTGCCACTGCACTTGAAAACTACAAAAAATCCACTACCTGAGTAGGGATTACTAGGGTCCTCTGAAATGCGCAAGATAAGCCTGAGGAGAACATTTAAGCCAGGCCCAGGGAATTTAGCTCAGTGGTGCTGTGGCACCTGCCTTGCAAGTATAAGGTCTTGAGTTCAATCCCCGGAAAAAAAAAAAAAAAAAAAAAAAGAATTCAAACCAGGTGTGGTAGTGTATGCCTGTAATCTCAGCCCTCTGGAGGCTGAGGCAAGAAGATCTCCATGAGTTCAAGGCCAGCATGGGCTACATACCAAGACCCTGCCTCAAAAAAAAAAAAAAAGGGAATTCAAGACACAGAAGGGCAGAGTGTAAGCTGGACTGTCTGTCTGCACCAGCTTACACTGCACCAGTGGTTGGACTTCAGTAATCCCAGGGCTGACTGGGGCAATCCCAAACAACTCTGCTACTCCTGAGTATACTGTCATTGCCCAACTGAAGCCTGAGGACCGTACATGTGTGGAGGCAGCTTAGGTGTAGACCAGGTATCACAAGTAGAAAGCTCTTCTTCAGCCCTGTGAAGGACAGTGTGGCGCTCAAGCCTACGGAGAAGTCAGGAGCAGGTAGGACCTGCAGTGCCCAACTCCCACCTCGAGTGGGGCAGGCACTGGAGCGGCTGTAACCCTATGATCAGTATTCTAGCCCGAGAGGGAGAAATCAAAACTACTCAAAACAGTCACAAAAATTCTCTCTCTCACTTCCTAAATGTCTGAAAAGAAGCAATCATAAAATGTGGCC